GTTAACCGAGAGAGGTGGCGGTTTGGAGTCTGAGGAGGAAATGAGTCATTATTTATGAGTCCTGAATTAGACTTTTAGAGATCTAGACAGGGGGAGATAGTGAGCCCAGAGATTCTGGATTAGCATTCATTGTAACAGGGTGAATAAACATTTTGTATTTGAACTCTTCGATGGAGACCACACACACAACAGAACAAGAATGTTGAAATGAATACTTTAACTTTTATTGCACTTTTCTTAAGTCTGTAAAAAGTGAACATTGTGCAGTGGCCACAGAAACATCGTGAGGTCTGAAAAACTCTTGTTATAGGAAACCGTACATTTCAAGTATATGTTGAGGTTACATCTTTTCATACTCAAAATATAGAAACAGATGTGTTCACAGTTAGTATGTGTGTGTTTTGGATCCATCTGGGCATCAGTTAACAGGCTGTAGACAGAAGTGCACTGCATGTACAGTCAGTAACAATGTTCATTTCAATTGATACAGACATTTTTAACACACGCAGAACCAGAGGGAACCACATTATAATCAGGGGGAGCTGTCTGTCCAATCATAGCACAGAGGAAGTGGGTCGCCATGTTTGTAGTCTGGCTTCAGGTTTGTAGTTCTGACTCTGCAATCACACTGTGGAGACTTTCCATGAGTCAATCACAAAGAGAAAGACAAGAGAGAGACTCGAGAGACCAGAGAGAGAGAGAGAGAGAGAGAGAGACTAGAGAAAGACTAGAGAGAGACTAGAGAGAGACAAGAGAGAGACTAGAGAGAGACTAGAGAGATCAGAGACAGACCAGAGAGAGATCAGAGACAGACCTGAGAGAGAGACCAGAAAGAGATGAGAGAGAGATCAAAGCGAGACCAGACAGACAGCAGGGAGAGACCAGAGAGAGACCAAAGAAAGACCAGAGAGAGACTCGAGAGACCAGAGAGAGACCAGAGAGAGAGAGAGAGAGAGAGAGACCAGAGACAGACTTGAAAGAGAGACCAGAAAGAGATCAGAGAGGGAGAGAGACCAGAGAGACTTTACTGTGCGTCTGAATAGAAGTGGGACTGTCTCAGTGCTGAAATCCCCCACTTCTTAAACTTCTTTTGGACGAATGAGGATCACAGTCTTGGTGAAATATGTATTTGGTTTACATTCAGGATTACATGAGGCTGCGTTCACGTTTTCTCTAACACCGAACAAAGTTCATGACAGCCTTTCAGATGTAAATCATTAATCAGTCCTTTTAAAACACAACAGAGAATAGAGCCACTTAAACCCAACATAACATCATTGGTAACTCTTGTGTGGGTCAATATGAAATCACGTTTAAACTATGTACAAAAGAAATTACCAATGTATTTGATATAACTGGTGCAGGAGCATATTTACACAGTTAATATTGAAAAGATGGCAGAGTTCAGTGTGGATGCCTACAAGACCTGGATATGGCTTTCTCACATTGTTCCCTTTTACTCGTGTCTCTGTTTGCAATAAATGTGGTATTTTCACTTCATAAAATGGCAAAAAACATTGATAATTCAGGATTTCTCACACGTTTCCATGCATCTAATAAAATGTACTTCTAGTTCATTCAGACCATGTTTCCCAGGTTTATGGAAAAATCCGAATATGGCCGTGGCATAAAGTTGTATATTGGTGTTGGATACAGTGGGAAAACAGTATTTATTCAGCATTCAACTGTGCAAGTGAGAGATATGACAGCGACCAGAGAGACCAAAGAGAGAGATCAGAGGAAGACCAGAGAAAATGAACAGAGAGAGAACAGAGAGACAAAAGAGAGAGATCAGAGAAAGACAAGAGAGAGACTAGAGAGTGAGACCAGAGAGAGAGAACAGAGAGACCTAATTCATTCAGACCACGCTTCCCAGGTCTCATAAATTGGTGTTTGATACAGTGGGAAGAACAGTATTTATTCAGCATCCAACTGTGTGAGTCCTTCCACTTCAATAAGAGATATCTGTAATGTTCATCACAGTTAAATCTCCACTAATACCAGATCTACTGTGATGCCTGGGGGTGGAAACATCCAGCTCTGGGGCAATTTTTCTGCAAAAGGACCTGGACAATTGATTAGTTAAAAGAACAGAATGAATGTGACCCTGTATGGTGAGGTTTGGATTAAAAACCTGCTTCCACCAGTACAACAATGACCCCAAACACACTTTTCCTGGAGCCTCAGTCTCCAGATCTCAGAGAACATCTGTGGAGGGAGATGAGGAAACCTTGTGAAGACTTACAAAACACGTGTGAACTATGTCATTGCCAACAGGGGGAATATAACACATGAGATGTTCTTTTGTTATTTACTAGGTACTTATTTTCCATTATTTGCACACACAAAAATGTTTTTCTCATTCTGTCTCATAGTGGGAGGACTTGCACATTGGGAGGCTGAATAAATACTGTTTTACCACCACTCTGGTCTCTCAAGATTCATGAATTATTTGCCATTTGCAGAGTCTCTCTCTCTCTTTGGTCTCTCTTTCTAGTCTCTTGTCTCTCTCTGGTCTCTCTCTCTAGTCTCTCACGATTGAATTCAATTTCTCTGGTCTCTCTTTCTAGTCTCTGGTCTCTCTCTCTAGTCTCAGGTGTCTCTCACTTCAGCAGACGTGAGTCCAGCAGTGGTTATAAAAGTGTATACAAAGTGAGAGTGAAGGGTTTTACAGCTGCTACTTTCATTTAGTGTGGCTTGTTTTTTAGAACACATCACCCCCAGTCACATTAGCGCGACTGTTACCTCATAAAACATAGCGTTTCTTCCACTCTATGATGATAAATGAGAAGAAACCTCCATCCCCCTGGTGTATGTATGGTCCAGGTCTCGATACACACCCACACTGCAACACTATTCCAGCCTGATTCACATCAAAGGCACATTATACACTTGGCTGAAACACGAGTTGCACTACGGCTGCTACTTCTACATAGAGTTCATTGTGCTTTGTTTTATAAATCAGATTTAGCTGATTTTTAGAGAATCACAGCTATTTTACACCACCCTCCAGGGCCATTCTACTCAAGCAGCTTCGTGCAATTTTGGCATCTGTTTATTCCGCAGCAGAGGGAAGGGATGATGAGGTGTTAGGGTATTTGGAGACCTCCTTTACTTCACTATTTGTGGAGAGAAAAGCGGAAAACAGAAAACCCACAAATGATATTTTTTGTTACATTTTGTTAGTCTTATCATGCCACAAACAATATCAATAAACAGGATGTCTTTCTCTCTCTATACCTCTAAAGATTCTGTCTTTGTTGCCAACTTAATATATTATATATGTTATTTATAAATTTTTTTATATGCAATATACTGTATGTATTGTATATATATATTTAATTTGTTAAACCTATGATAAATTATTGTCTATGAACCAATCTAGTGTATGCATTATCTGTACTATCCCAAAATGTGTGTGTGTGTTATTATTTTATACCGTTTCTCAGTGAATCATTGTCAATGTATCTCATGCATGTTTGAAATAAATAAATAACAAAAATTAAGAAACATTGCACCGTCCCATCTCTTACCACTGTTTTTCTAAAATAAATGTGTTTTATCATTTGTTTAAAGCATGACTTAAATATCACCGTAAACTCAGATTATAATAATACATATATTTCCCAATAAATTACAAGATGCACAAAACAAAACAGTTATATATGTCACTATGACTACAGTGACTGAAAGCAGAGACCGAGTCAGATCATAAGGATCAAGTGAGACACGATCAGTTTTATCATTTAAAACTTGAAATTGTGGTAAACTAAGGAAAACATCTGAATTCATCAAGTGTTTCAGGTTGAGATGGAAACAAGCAGAGTTCTAACAACGATAACTCAATTTCCGGTTTTATCAGTAGAGAGAGCTGATTCCAATGGTATATGAGTATTATTATATGTTATTATAGAGTGCATGTGTACGTTTTACAATAGACACATTTGTTAATTATTTTTATGTGTGAACGCACCCAAAACTCCTCATGTTAAAGCTGGGGTACCTACTTTTCATCAGAACAAGTCTTATTACAAAACATATTCTCTCGAGTAAGAAAGAGCCCTGTGAGTCACTTTTTAGCCCTTCTCTACTGTACTCCACTCTACTCGACTAAGTATTCCGGGAAATTCCTTCCAGCAGCACTCTGACCAATCACTGTCAGTTAGAACCCTTTAGGACCAGCTCGGCCTGGATAGAACCAGGACCAAGAAGGACTAAAGAAAGACCTGGTACTGGTTAAACAGGACCAGTAGAGGAGAGTAGGGTAGGGTCAAGTAGGGTAGGGTAGAGTAAAGTAGGGTAGAGTAGAGTGGAGTAGAGTAGGGTATGGTAGGTCTTCTGACACTCTGGGTTGAAAGCTGATTGGCTGAGTGAGGGCGGCCTTCACCAGGACTAAAGATCAGTAAAACATCACTGAGTTTGGAAACATTTCTCTTGTTTTTCAGTTTTTTTCTCTTTCTCTAGAAGTTGCTCTTCTTACTCTGCTCAAAATGAGACTGTTTAAACATACAGGACAATTGCATAAATATAATGTACATAAATATAAGAATTATATATTAAATTCGTTCAGCCGTAGTAAGAAAGCGGATCTTGTATGTGAAAAAGGTCAAACGCATGGATGAGAGACTAGGGATCCAGGGAGGTGGAATTGACTTATTTTTTGGAAATTTCAGGAAAGTCTAAGGACAGTGACGATCCCGCTCCCTTTGGACCAATGGATCCTATGTGTTTGTAATTATTGTGTTTCTTGTGTTAGAACTCTTTGATTCTCTGATCTGTTTTTGTCAAATCCACTACTTTGGAAAGTCCACTGCTGCTGTGATTTAGGGCAAGACACAACAATAAATTGAGGTACCCCAGCTTTAATCACATCCACACACAACTGTTTTGAGAGCGAGGGATGAGTAAGAGGGGTTTTTTTTAAACACTGTTCTGTTTTTGTGGTTTGAAAGTCAGCAATCCCAGCTTTACGTCTTCGCTCCGTGAGTCCGTGGGAGGCCTTAGCTATAGCCCAGAGTGACCATCTCGTTGCGGTAGCGGAGCTCGGACACCTTGGCCTTGTGCTGCTTGCTCTCCAGGTGTTGCCTGAAGTCTGGCTCCTGCTCAGCGCCGCTGTTGCACATGGAGCAGTAGAAGCTGCCGCTGGGGGTCACGCACATGGCCAGGTCCCGCGGGATCCTGGGCCTCGGGCGGGCGTGGAAGTACGGCCCTGCGTGGGGGAGGAGAGAGAGACAGTCTTAGACTCACTTTTCGAATTTACATCATGGAGGAAACCCACACAGGTCTCTCTCTGGTCTCTCTCTTTCTGATCTCTCTCTCTGGTCTCTCTCTCCGGTCTATCTCTCTCTCTCTGGTCTCTCTCTCGCTAGTCTCTCTCTCTCTGGTCTATCTCTCAGGTCTATCTCTCTGGTCTCTCTCTCTCTCTCTCTCTCTCTCTCTCTCTAGTCTCGCTCTCTGGTCTCTCTCTTTCTGAATTATCTCCCTGGTCTCTCTCTGGTCTCTCTCTCTGGTCTATCTGCCTTGTCTGCATAAAGGACGACAGGGAGACAAGTTACAGTAGAGCCACTGTGTATGTTTACATCATGGAGGAAACCTACGAAGGCACAAAGAGAACATGCAAACACCACACAGAAAGGGACCTTCTTGCTGTGCCAAAACAAATAAGTCTATAGGTTTTTTTCACTATTTAATATTTGTAAACAATCAACCACCTTTACATGTAATCTTTGTAGGTCTCTCTGGTCTCTCTCTCTGGTCCCTCTGCCACTTGAGGTCTCAAACATGGCCAGGTCCCGCGGTACCTTCTGGTCTCTCTTGTCCGTGTCTAAGGTCTCTCTCTCTGGTCTCTCTCTGGTCACTGTCTCTGGTCTCTCTCCCAGGTCAGTTTGCATGTGTCTGTATAGATTTCCCCTGGTTGCTCCTGTTTCCCCTACCAATAAAAACATGTACTATAGCTTCCTCTGCAACAAAAAAGGGCAATGTCACTTTTTTGACCCTCCAAAAATAGTTAAAGTCATCGCACAGTTCACTCACACAAGGGGGAGAGAGAGAGAGAGATCCAGAGCACCTTTACCCAAACATACACTATTGTAGCTAGGCAATACACAAGGCAATTCAAAGTGCTGAACAAACCATGATCCAGCAGGAGGCCAGTCCCTGTGCTCCTCAGAGTCTCAGCAGGAGGCCTGTCCCTATGCTCCTCAGAGTCAGAGTTGGTTCATATGGCACTAATGTTCACTTTGGTGCAAGGCCATCTACTCTCTGAGATTATAAATTACCCAAAAAAGAATACATTACTCCAATAACAACTACTATAATAAATGTCATACTCAGTGGCGGAGCCAGAGGGGTAGCCAGGGTGGCCACTGCCACCTCTAAAAATATCCTTGCCACCCCCAGTGCCCCCCTCGGAAGACGGCAATGTAATAATGTTAATCTTGATAATCTTCCGCACTTTTTCCGCCAAAAGCTAAAAATTCCCACGGTTTCCCCCGTCTGTGAACGCACCCTGACTCCGTGTGGAGCCGGTGTAACGCGAGATACACTGTCTTGAAGAGATGCACTGCCTCAGCTGTTTATGATGTAATGCAAACCTACGCATGCGCGTCTCACGGCAACCGAAGCATACCAAGATGGCGGACCGTGAATTGCTAAAAATTGAAATACAAACAAATTAAGACACGAATGTCACTTTTAATGCAATTTGAGGCGAGATGTTGATGGTCCCGTTTTGTCTCATGTGGGTTTTAAGAGTCAAAGTTTTGTGCAAAGTTTAGTTTAAGCAGTCAACTGCGCCTGTGAAACCGCAAAGCTAATGTTTTCATAGCAGTCCGCGGCTGCTGACGTAGGCTGATGACGCGTCCTGTGGCCACTCTACACTCTTACACTGGTCTGTCGGGTTGATAATGGAAAATGGGGAAAAAAATCAATCTAATTAAATATTTTGTTTGAACACACTATTGTTAATCATATTAAATACAGTACGATACATGTATTGAATGAAATTTATTATTTCCATTATCAACCCGACAGACCCGACACCGGTGTAACGCCAAGATACACTGCCTTGAAGAGATGCACTGCCTCAGCTGTTTATGATGTAATGCAAACCTGCGCATGCGCGTCTCACGGCAACTGAAGCATACCAAGATGGCGGACCGTGAATTGCTTTAAAAGTTGAAATACGAACGAATTAAGACACGAATGTCACTTTTAATGCAATTTGAGGCGAGATGTTGATGGTTCCGTTTTGTCACATGCGGGTTTTAAGAGTCAAAGTTGTGTGCAAAGTTTAGTTTAAGCAGTCAACTGCGCCTGTGAAACCACAAAGCTAATGTTTTCATAGCAGTCCGCGGCTGCTGACGTAGGCTGATGACGCGTCCTGTGGCCACTCTACACTCTTACACTGGTCTGTCGGGTTGATAATGGAAATAATAAATTTCATTCAATACATGTATCGTACTGTATTTAATATGATTAACAATAGTGTGTTCAAACAAAATATTTAATTAGATTGATTTTTTTCCCCATTTTCCATTATCAACCCGACAGACCAGTGTAAGAGTGTAGAGTGGCCACAGGACGCGTCATCAGCCTACGTCAGCAGCCGCGGACTGCTATGAAAACATTAGCTTTGTGGTTTCACAGGCGCAGTTGACTGCTTAAACTAAACTTTGCACGAAACTTTTACTCTTAAAACCCACATGTGACAAAACGGGACCATCAACATCTCGCCTCAAATTGCATTAAAAGTGACATTCGTGTCTTAATTCGTTCGTATTTCAACTTTTAAAGCAATTCACGGTCCGCCATCTTGGTATGCTTCGGCTGCCGTGAGACGCGCATGCGCAGGTTTGCATTACATCATAAACAGCTGAGGCAGTGCATCTCTTCAAGACAGTGTATCTCGCGTTACCGGTGCTGTATGCTGATGCTTTGGGTTGTTGGACTCACATGTGCCCAAGTCGTGATGAAAACAAAGAGGTAAGTTAGCGATGCAGAGCCAACCGTTTACATTTGACACAAAGTATAGACACACGTACTGCAGCGCATTACTTGTTCAGTTTGTAGAACTTTTAGTGTGTGTATGTGTGTTTGCGTGTGCGTGCCTGTGTGCGTGCCTGTATGCGCGCCTGTGTGCGTGTGTCAGCGTGCCAGTGTGTCTGCGTGTGTGTGCGTGCCTGTGTGTGCGTGCCTGTGTGTGCCAGTGTGCGTGCGAGTGTGCATGCGTGTGTATTTTCCATTATTAATTGCCCATTGTATCATCGCCCTCTTCCCTTTAGTGTAAACATGAAAAGAAAAGGAGGAAACATTGCCTACAGGCCTTTTTTTGTTAGGAAAAGGCCTGTAGATCAGGATGATGAAACCTGAAGGTCAGACTCGGAGGCAGTATGTTTTAAGATGATGAGGAATTTGTTGTGTTGTATTAAAATATAGCTTATATAATTGAGTTTCAGAGAATGAGAGGGTGTCGCAGACAGGTGCAGGATTGTCTATTGGCAGAAGGCGTTTTTTCACACACAAAAAAATAGCTAAGATTATGGATGATGTGCAGTCGCTTAACCCCAAAATATTTTTGAAAGAAGAGCCCCTGTTTTCATTTGGCAGAACCTTTGAGTCAGATATAGAGGACCTTAAGCATGAGGTACGTCAAACTATGGCGG